AGTGATGCGTTCGCCACCACAATCTGAGCTCACTTTTCAAATATAATAATAATCACACAAATAGTAGAGTAGCGTTAGAGTTGAGGGCAAAAAAGTGCTAGTTGACTAGAGTGGGCATCAATTTCTGAGGCACATTGTGTGTCGAGTTTAGTTTGAACACAAAATAGCAATTTCTGTGTCCATACCAGTGAAAAAGGCATACATTTATACGCAATGAGCCGCGACCTCACCGTCCCTTACAGTGCCCTTTAAAGGGACACACAATCGCAGAGATCTAATCTATTATTAGCAGAGATGCTATTTAAATCACTCTTAACCAGATCGTTGACATTGTTTGTTAGCATTCATAGTGTTTTATGAGATATTTTTAGATTTATTTATATGAATAAATCACAAAAATAAGTTATATTTTGGTTTAGCGCTAGGTTTTAAAGTTATCCAAACATTTTTATTTTCAAAAATGTTATTCATTTAGTTTTGTTGTTTATAGTGAACCCACATTTAACCGAAAGATACCCAACTTTTAGCGCTCTCCCCTCCCCTGCCCTCCCCTCTCTCGACTGGTATATTGTGGTCTAGAATTGAATGGCTTTTTTCAATACTTGTTTTTTCTGGTTTCCATTGTATTGCCTAATGAATAGAAAAGTAGTTATTATTTATCACAATAGTATTGTTCGTACATTTATTTTATGTTTCTGGTTTTTTTAATTTAAGAAATTTTTTATTGATTCCCAGAATTTTTCACTCAACACATATAATACATATAAACATTTTTCTAAAACCTTTTGGTATTTTAAAATCAATTCGTTAAAAATTAAATTCTTATTCACTATTCGTGTAATCAATTAATGCATATATGATTTAAATATGTAAATTTTAACATTGCTATAAACTACAGTATATGTGTATGCAGTATAAATCAAATACATTAATTTATTACATTTATAATGTTTATTTATGCACATATTTCTATATACAAAACACATAATACAGTATTCAAAACCAATAACCTATCCCATCACCCATGCATATCCATACCCAATAATTTAATTATTATTATATACATCTAATTGTGTCTTAAAAACGTTGTGTCCATTAGGAGGAAGCGTCGAAACTTCAGCAAACAGGCGACTGAGATATTAAATGAATACTTCTATTCACATCTCAGTAATCCCTACCCGAGTGAGGAGGCCAAGGAGGAGTTGGCCCGAAAGTGTAGTATTACTGTCTCTCAAGTATGTATTCATATGGGGATTAGTGGCCACCAGTGTGTGGGCGCTATCTTATATTTTAGCGTATATTATCTAGTTTGCAAATTGTTTTTAATTTATGTCTAATATGATGTTTGTTTTTTGCGTTACCACCCCAACCCCCGTTTCCCTCCCGTCACCGGTAGGTATCGAATTGGTTCGGAAATAAGCGAATTAGGTATAAGAAGAACATCGGCAAAGCTCAAGAAGAGGCCAACCTTTACGCCGCCAAAAAAGCAGGTAATGTGTCCATGGTGCTTTTTGTTTGATTTATATAAAGTGAGACGTGCCATTTAAAACTCTCGGCATACCATCATTTATAAAATAGTTGTGTTTTATGAGATTATATGTATTGACTGTTATTTAGTTGTTTATATTCCTGACATTGAAAGGCATTTGTATTGCCATTGTATGTGTGCTTAAATACGATAGTTATTAGTAGTCATGAATACATATTTGTATTTAAAGTAATTGTGTTTTTTATTTTAAGAAAATATTTTGAGACAATAGACAATATAGTCATACAGTGTGTATAGACATGGCAGCGGTGTGTGCGACCTTCCCATGCCTACCAGTCCTATCCTTGTAATCCCTGTCAATCAAATAGGCAACAAATTATAGCATAGTTTGTATATATATTTTTGCACAAAACTAGTCCTTTAAGCCATTTGTTTGTTTCGGTCAATATTTTTGTGTTATTGACATAAATATTTTCATATTAATAATGACGAGAGAAGTTTTAAGTCTAAATATTTTTATTAATATTTCTATTCAAACAAAATTCTAAAACTTATTAAGTCTTTGAAGACTTTACGGTAATAGATATTTTTGATAAGTATTTTGTAAACGACTCGCGAATTGATTTAAAACAACAGATAAAACACACAATTATTGTAGAGATTGTGAGAAACAAAAATCATTACTAGAAATCATATTTATATATATAATTGAAAAACTAATAATAATATTATAAGAGTATTAAGAATATTAAGAATAGATACAGATAAAACACACAATTATTGTAGAGATTGTGAGAAACAAAAATCATTACTAGAAATCATATTTATATATATAATTGAAAAACTAATAATAATATTATAAGAGTATTAAGAATATTGAGAATAGAAATGAGAATTTTGTGCTCAAAAGTAGAGTCGATTGTACGGCGATATGAGTGCAGGGAATGGTAGGGGAAACGGTAGTTTCTGTGCACAGATTTTTGTTTTTGAGTTCACAATTACAATCGTTGAGATGCCATAAATTATGGCTATGGATGTGCTACTGATGGCACACAATATCTAATGCCGGCGCTGTTCGGGCATCCACTGGATATGTATGTACTGTACATTGAAAAACGCCTTATACTTTAATAATCTCTATTTTCCATTAAGACCAATCCAGGCGCTATAAACACTATATGCCTGAGCACTGGTAGTGTATGCACACTCACATACATTCATACCGTGTGTTACAGCGGGCTTACAGTTTGTGTTGTAATTTGGACTTAGAGTTAGAGCCGAATATCTGTTGTGTGTATATATATAGTGAGTGCGAGTCTGGAGTCTGGATTGAAAAGATAAAAGCGAGTGAAAGCTATTTTATGTGTTACACAACGAAAATCTCATTTTCACTTCACAGCCAAATACCAGTATAGGCCTAAACAGTGATCACAAACACACATAACACACAACACATAATATTTAATGTGTTCTCCATTTACACAACCCGTGCTCTCTCTCTCTCTCTCTCTCTCTCTCTCTTTAATTCACACTTTAATACATATAATACTATATCTTCTTAGTTCTCATTATATTTTAGTGAATATTACTTATAAAACATATAAAAGTAACAAATATATCGCATCCAATCGTTTGGTTGACTCGCACTCGCAATAAGAGACAAATGTGTTATCCGTGCGATAAGTGAATGTCTCGATGTATTTGATTATAAATTATTGTAAAACTCCTACAATAATGATATTACTGTTGAACAATATAAATATATTTATCATAAATACTTGTATACATATTTGATTTAATTATTATATCCAGAAAGCATTGACATTTTGCTTTGCATACAAAATATATCCCAATAATTCAGCCAAATATCAAAGAGATTTCCCAAAAAAGACTTATAAATATTATAAATATATTTTTTATTTATACAAATAAAATCAAATTCTTTGTTATTGTGTTAGCATTTAATGGTCGACTGAATCAAACAAAACAAATTAGACGACAGTTAATATATTCCGTACAATAGATTTATATTCAAATATATTCCGAGCATTTTTGTTGTAGTTTTTATTTTCAATTTAGTTGCCTTTTTCAATAATTCATCCGAAATTTAATCAAAATAATTGTTTGCCTTTTTATTTGTGTCGGCAATGAGCCCACCATTTGAGTCAAAAGACAAATATTTATTATAATTATTATGATTATTGGCTCCGAAATAATGCGAGCAATGGTTACGTCCGCCGATTGATAGACACGACTGCGAGTGAAATGACACAAAAAGGGACCAAAAATTGGGACTCATTTTTAAATGTCTTGTCTCTCACGATGTTTATATGCAATTGCTTTAGACGTTTAGATTGAATTGAGTTTTTTGTTTTGTTATATTTCTCGACAATTGTTTATTTCGATGGCCCCGAAAGCCGTAGACTACTGGTATTGTTATGGGGAACGACTACTTTGCAAAATGAGTGTCTCGTCTATTAAAGACATACAGATATATATAAATATCTGTAAGACATATATAACCCTCTCGGAGACGTCTAAGAAAAACAATTTTCTATCACAAAAAGATATTGAATTGTGTTTTTCATGACAATTATGTGATGCAATGCAAGCATTTTTTGTGAACTTTTTTTGTAGGCTATCTGTGCTCAACTGCCTGGCCCTGCTAATACATTTTCCTATTTGGTTATCTTAACTCCAAATAGTCTCTCTCTCTCTCTCTCTCTCTCTCTCTGCCAATATTGCACAACACAAACACACTTACACACAAACCCAGGGCACTGGACTGGTTCAGTAACTGTGCCGGAGTCTCATTTATCTCCAGTTCACTTGACATTTAGAAATGGACTCAACATTAATACATCAAACCTTTTGACACTTAAGATGGCCATTGCTTTGGCACTAATATTACAACTATTACTGCCAATGCATCCCAGCTTTTGCACCGAAAAAAAGCTATTTCTTGAGTTTTATTTTTTGTGTTTTTCTCTCTCAAACTTATCCGTATATACAGTACTTGTGTTTTGTATCACAAAAACATTTATATAAAAATATGTCCGATTTTTGTTGGGTTATGTTTTTGCTCGCATTTATTGCTAAATTCATAAATCGTTAAATTGTTGCTATTATTTGATATTTAGATTTGATTATTTCGTATTTTATATATGACTGCCTGTCCCCTTATATATGTCCTTAAATTATAAAGTAATCCATTTTAAGCGTAGAATATTAATTCGTTTTAACATTTTTAAAGTTTTTATTTTTTGATAATTTTATAATCGATTTCCAGTGAAACATATTCTCAATGCCTTTATCCACTGTATTGAGTCAACACACCATTCAATCATTATTTATGAAATATAAGTTATCATTCATTTTGGCAAAATATTTGTTTTAGTATTACTTTTGGATATATATTATTGGCTACACTTTAGCAGCGAATTTATAGACGATTTTCTCGCTCAAAGAAAAACTAATTTTATGCTTACATTCATTCATAAGTGAAATATTTGTCTCGAGTTTTATGTATTGAATGTTAAGGAAAAGAATTTTAAGGAAAAAAGTAAATTTAATTTAAAGTTTTGCATCAAAAATGAATACATTGTACGATAGGATGCATACATTGTTTATATGACTATTATATGCAAAACTAATTCCATAATTGCATTCAATGTATGACTTTTGATTGTAGCCATAGCTCACTGCATGGCTATTGTCTCCCCCATTGAAAGGCTATACTGACGGCAAAAAAAATCTTAAGAAAATTTATTATAAGACTGAAGTTTTAGCCGTTTTTCTCAGAGCTTTCGTTTAGATTACAAACGTTTGCAGAAAATAAGAGTTGTATCGCAAAAATGTGTATAAAACACAGTAGCGATACTGGGTGGTGGTGTGGGGGAAAGGGATGGAAATATTTTCGATGCCAAGCGAATGCAAACTCATTTTTTTGTAGTCTCGGGGACACAAACCGCAAACTCAGCATAAATAATGTTTCGCTGAAATGTCCACCAAATGCTTCACTTATTCCTAGAGTGGGAGCGAAGCAAAAAATCTCTCTCTCTCTCTTAATAGACAGAGAATAAGGCTTTTAGTAAATGTATATAAAAGAAAAGTTTAAGTCAAAGATTTCTGTTCGTGAGCCATATCTCTCGCTTTCATATATGATATAATACACAGCACTCTATGAATGAGATTCTCGGATGGAATTTAAGCGGCAAAAGCCATAGTAGAGGAAAATTTTTGTCCAAAAGATTTTCTTCCAGAGTAGTCGTCTCTCCCTCTCTCTCTCTCTCTCTCTCTCTCTCTCTCTCGGTCTCTCTCATGGATACTAATATTCTGTACGCAAAAGATTGTTGTGTTTTATATGTGAGTTGTGTTGCGTAAGGAGTTTTGTCTGTTGGGCGCACTCGGAGTTAGTCTGGCGAGAGGGCAGACCAAGCGTACAGTTATTATATATATTGAGGTCACAAAACCAAAAATAATTTTTACAGTTATAGCGAAAAAGTCTTTCGGAGCGAAAAACCATTTTGGGATCACTTATATTGCCTTAACATCATCTCTCTCTCGCTCTCTCCATCCCTCTCCCTCTAACTCTCTCTCTCACTTTTACTTTCATACAATATATGCCTCTTTAGCTCTCCCTAAGGCTTATAAAAATTTATTTTTTATGCCAACCTTTCCCTGTGTACCATCTCTCTCTCACCCCCATTCACTTTCCATGTGCTACCAGTGCTCTCACTCACTCTCTTATACACTGCATGCATGGGTTCCTAAAAGTTATGAATATAAATACAAAATTGATGGAAAAAATAATATCTCATACAATCCAAAGGATTTGTGAGAAAAAAGCATTTTTAAGAAATAATTTCTGATTACTTTTCAATACAATTATCTCTCATTTGATTTTTCTCAACACATCTCTCACTCTACTATTTATCTCTAAATTATTTAAACATATATTTCTCAAAAATATTTTACACACAATTACTCGTGTTTTGTAGATATGAAATATTTAGATAATTAAACAGAAAACCTTATAATTAGTTTATATACACTATAGACCAGGATGATAATGACAAATGCTGACCACCACTGACGCTCTACTATATCCTATTTTTATAGCCGGCTCGTCCCCATACGGTTTAACGCCGTCATCGCAGGGCTCGGGCAATATAATGAGTCCTCCGCCACCACCTGGTAGTTCACAGGATGGATGGTCTATGAATGGTGATTATGGAAGTCAGGTAAGGGTTTCCGTCCACACCTATTAACCGCGACCCACAGCCATAGGTAGACAGACAGACAGATATAGTGACAGACAATAACAATACATTTTCATACACATGATAACAACAGCAAACCAGACGTACATTTCGTTGTTCAGTACTGTTTTTGTTTAATTTGTTTTCCTCTGTCTTTACCTTTCGTTTACACTTTTTTCTCGAGTTTTTTTAATTTGTCTTTTTGTGTTTTTAATTTTAATTTTATTTTTGTTTGTTATTTTTGTGTTCATTTTTTTGTTGTTATTATTTTCGGTGTGAGTTATGTATACAGTATACAGAATGGCACACTAATCCAGAATATTCAGTATGTAGTTAGTTGTATACTCGTAACACAGAATTACCTCCATTTCCCTCCTCCCATACCCTCTCTGTGTTGTCAACTGTTTTTGGATTTGTTTGCTTTATTCGTGTCTCTAATTTGGCTTTTGTTTGATTCCTAACACATCGCGTATTCTCTTAACTATTTTATTCGGGCATAAGATGTCATTCCCGCGGGATTTCCACTGTATATGTGTTGGTGTGACCTGACTGTGCGTTTCGCAAGGAAGGCCAGTCTATCGCTAAATGTGTTTTTTGTGCCTAATCTTTGTCCTCAACTAAAATATTTTTGATGTTATTTTGTTATTTAGTTTCCATTTTTGCTCTAATAGTTTGTTATAATCGTATTGTTTAGTATTAGTCGAGAATTCATATATAGATAAATGGATGGTTAGTCTGTGTTTTTTGTTTGAGCACTGATAGTGTTTGTTACTTTACTGGACAGTATTTGGGATTATTTTCCTCTTATGCATCTCTCTCTCTCTCCCTGAACATTGAAGTAGTGTTTTATATATTTATGTAATATATGTGTATAAATCATCATTAAATGCAAACACTGTATAGGGAGTGAGTGAGTGCGAGAGAGAGAGAGAGAGAGAGGCATAAATCAAAATCAATTTCGAGTCAAAAGTATTGATAAAAATTCAAGAGAGAGAAGAAACAGATTTCATGTAAAGCAACAAAACTGACAAACTTTTAGTGATTATTAAAGAAATTAATTATTACTTTTCGTTATAAGGTTTTCAGAGATTCTTGTTGTTGTTGTTTAGTAGACTATTTTTTGTTGCATTTTTGCTTGTGTCAGCTCTCTCTCTCTCTCTCTCTCTCGCATTTGTGAGACAAAGACAGCAAATAATGTAATTCCTCTCTAGTTTTCTCTATCTTTTCATTGAATTCATTGAACATTATTTTATCGCTTTATTTCGCGCCGATGTCTGCAAAACATAACTAATGGTCCGAATGAGAGACTGAATCCCAATATAATATAACTTTTTATATATATCTTGAGAAATGTCTTCTCGTTTTGCCAATACTTTCGGCACTCTTTTTATTATGAAATTCTATATGAAAACCAAAAATATATATAACTTTCTGTCTTATGATGTCGTTTCATAATTCGCACGAATCCATGAATTTTAGTTATAATTTAATAATAAATTTTGGCGAAAAAATTAAATTATTTAAGAGACGACACAAATGAGTGCAATTGTTATCTGTATTTACAAATACTGTGGCAATAAATTCGCAATTAGTGTCTCTGAATGTCTTTAGGTTTTTGTTTTTTAATTGCAATTTCTTTTGTTTTCATAATCTTAACGACAATTTTGCTAATATTCTGGGTTTTCGGGCAATCATTTTGTTTCTACTTTTTATCTCTACTTCTTTTTGTTTTGTGGTTTATTTTATAAATCCAATAATATATTACTAGTAAAGTATTAGTTAGTCTTTGGCTATTAATGCTAATGTTATTTGAATACAATGGGAAAATTATTTATCAATTCTGTATTTAATATGACAGACAGTACTGTGTAATGAAATGTCAATCGAAATATAGATAACATACAGATATTATTAACAATAATAAACAAAAAATACAAATATAATAAACAAATCAAATCAATTAGCTGGCTGTGTGGTAGACCCTGATGTGTATGTTTGCGATGATAACCAAAAACCCTACCGTTCCGTCCAATAGGCCCATAGGCACGGAGGCTACTCCTCAGATGGCAGTTCGGGAGGCATGTATGACCCGGGTATGCATCAGGTATCACCCCTTTGAGATGTGATCCACAGCCACCACTGCAAAGCGAATCAACAATTTTCCTATCAATACATTTTAATTAACGACTAAATTAAATATAAATAATAATATATATTGTGCTTCAAAAGTGTCCGTTGAGGTGAGAGTCGTGTACCAAATGTTTTGAAATATTAATGATTTTACTTTTTTGAATCAATTTGTTTGTGTTAATTTTAAAATTCATAGTTATAGTAATCATGGTCATAATTTTACATATTTTTTCAATGTCCAAGCGAATATAACATAACAGTCAATACAGGGTATACTAAATGTGGAAATAAAAGTCAAATGTATTTTTTAGTGGTTTTTTTGTGCAGACCTTTCGCTATATTTTTTTGTTGTTTTCGGAGCACATGAGTAGAAATTTTTATATAAAATTTTGCTTTTGCTGTCAAATTGACCGAAATGTCATTCAATACGTGTGTGCCATACCAGTGCTCTACCTCCTCATCCCTCGTAGGTTTTTACTCTATAAATTTGGTGGCAAACAATTTCTATGCGTTTTAGATCCCATTCCCCTTACAGTTCCTCTCAATTCTGGTCATTGCTTAGTCTGGCGTTCATTTCATTTTCATATGATGTGATCAAATGTCATGCATTCATATATATTTGGTGTATGTTTTGTGAGCATTAGACAAACCGACAAAAAAGTAGTTGTTTTTTATAACTAATTCTGAGCCGTATTTGAAACTAAGTGAACAATAATAAGGAAAATATTGACTCAGAAAAGGAGTGCAAACTAAGTGTGTATTTAATGCAAATAACATACGAGACGTTTATACCTGTGTTTTAGTTTAGGTTTTTTGTGTTAAACAGTCGTTTTATATACGGAGTGGAAAATGGCTTTAAGGCTTCGGGTCGGCTGAGACCCTGGTTGTAGACACTGGTAGGCACTGTCAGCTCTGTTTAAAGCACTAGTCAAGAGTGTTATGTACGAGAAATTATGTTATATTATATACGGTATTATTCTGTCAAAAATTATAAATAGACGACTACTGTATGACTTGTGGCGGAAATTCATATAACATAATGTATATCCCTATAGCAATAGTATAGAAATCAATAGACCTTTTTGTGTGTATATATTGTTTTGTTTCAGCGCTTTTAGAGTATACGTAAGAAAACTTTATATGTTATATAAGTTTTTGTATTCAATTTATTTCGCTCTATATATGAGTCTTAAAGTAATTTCGTTTTTTTCGGGCAATACTTGAGTCCAGGCGCTGGTGAACCCAATACTCGATGACATCTCAACTCATTACGAGTTCTCTCTCTCTCTCTCTCTCTCTCTCTCTCTCTCTCAACGTATAAAATATATATTAAATTATATACAAGTTATTGGAGTCCCGAAAGTAATGGCAAAGTCTGTGCAACTATTTTATGTCTCATATATATTGGTATAGATATCTATAACACAGCGTATGTTATATTAAAGTTACATAAGAATTGTGTAGTAATTGAGCGCTACATTCAATTTTTGTGTCACAATACATCATATTTGCCACCAGTTTTGTAGGCACACATACATTTTTTTTGTAGGGCCAGTATATATGCCTACTGTAGTGTAGTTTCAGTAGCTTCTGGTGTTTTGGAGTGGCCGTGCGTTTTGTGAGGGCACTCGTATTGTACACAATGTTAAGGCCGAGTATTAAAAATGCCATAATATGTCTTTCGCCTGTCATCGCAAATATATAACACATTGATTCTCGCCGTGTATTACACGACCAACCGATGACCCCAACCAACAGCCAATATATTGTGCGCTAAAGGTTTACTTACAGCGCACCACCAGTCAGTCCCCAAGTATTTTATATTTATAACTCCGAAAACCCATTGCCAATGGAGTATAGAGTTTAAGGGCAAACCCTCCCGAAAAAAGGTTTTGTTGTTAAGTATACAAAATATATGGCATTTTCTCTCTCTCTCTCTCTCTCTCTCTCTCTCTCTCTTCTCTCTCTCTCTTATGTATACATACAGTAGCGCTCGTATGATATGAATGTATTGAAAGCGAAACTAAATTAACTTTTCTAATCAATCAAACAATAGTCACGTTTTCAGTTAGTTTTCGGGAGTTTTGAATTATGTCTAAAAAAGGTATTCACTCTTATGTTAGCGTATTATATAAGAGTATTAATGTATTAACGATTAAATTAACTCTCGTATGCATTATATTTAACTATAAATATAAATGTATTTCTTTTCTCTTTCCCGAATCTCTCTCTCTCTCTCTCTCTCTCTCTCTCTCTCTCTCAGTCGTGAAATGAGAAAAAAATTGTTGCCTTTTATTGCCATTCGTTTTATATATGATTTTAAAGACACAGCGATTCCAGTGAACCACAAGAAGTTGTTTCTCTCATGTGATACAAAACACTCGGCTTTTGACCGCAGTTTTTGGTTGTAATCTCTAATCGTAATTGCATTTTGATTGCACTCTATATTTCAATACAATTTACACAATTATTTTCTTATTTCGTATTCACCATATTATTAGTTGTCTATACATTTTGGGCAATAATTTTGATTTAATTTTTTTGGCTATAATTAGTTTTGTAATTGCTTTTTATAATACACTTTATTCCCATTGTTTTTCCGTATAATTGAGTCAATCATTTATGTATTCATTAAAATTATATTTATTTATAAATAATAATCACATTTTGCCAACAAATTCATTTTAGAGGACAAATCTATGGTGTTTTCCCAGTGTTTAACAATACCATTCCCTCCCATACCTCAGGTATACTGAGACCTTGTTGACCAAATCTATGCCACCATTTGTTTTGTTACCCAAATTGTACCTAAAAATGTGTGCAATTAATATCACTGAAAATACATTTTGATATCCATTTTATTAATTTGGGTTTTATTTTATAAACAATTTTACATAATTATATTTATGTATAATACTTATAATGCAAACAAATCGAAATCTAAACCTAATAAATGATAATATAAACTAAATTTTTGTTATCTATTTGTTTCCCGACTACAGGTTGCGATGAGTTACAGCCCTCCTGGTGTAAATAGTCCCCAAACCCCTGTCAGCCCTCATATGCCACACATTTGAAGCGCAACCTAAATATATATGAAACGACAAATACAACACAATTAATACCAATACAACTGCTCTCCTCATCATCTCTTGATTTAAATCATCTGTTTTTTTCTCTCTCGGATGCCATCGGATAATAGCGAACCAATGAATACGATAAACACTTTCTTTTTCGGGACATTAGCGACAAAATTGACGCAAAATTTTTTTTATAATAATAATTATTATATTAAAAATTGTTTTATCATCGGGCGCGAGGGTAACCCCAGTAAACTCACCTAGCTATCGTCTGCAGCTATATATATAATTAAATACATATGCGTTGGACGTTAAGCGGCGTCTAGTCTGGTCAGTATATACGAGCCTGAACAATTTTTATAATCATAAATTTGTTGAAATTGTAGCTAAAATTTATTGATTTTGTTATGATTTTTGTGCCATAGGTTGCGATGAGTTACAGGCCTACCCTCCCGTGTAAATAGTCCGCAAAACGCCCGACCCCTGTGTGTCTCAGTCGCCCCCTTCATATTTGCCACACATTTCTGAAGCACAAGAACTACAGAATATATAAACAAATACATGAAAACAAACTCTTTTTTAAATTTTTTGGTTCAACTCGTTGTCGGACACGACTGGCGTCCCTCTCATTCATCACATGATTTAAATCATCTGTTTTTGCGTTCACTTTGCGATGTCATCGATAATGAAATGAAGAACTCTTTTGAAATACATTATTATTATGATTACGAAAAAGACTATAAGATTTTAAGGCACCAAATGGACGTAAATAAAAGTTGTAATAAATTTTAATTGAATACTACATTAAAGCAAATGATTACGATTGCATTTTTTGGATTACATACACACGATATTTCAATACGACTTTTCAAACTACCATTATTTCTATTCAAATATATATATTCGTCGCGATATATGTTTTTTTAGTTAACTATGATTTTTAATTGTCGCTACAAACTAAAAAAATTATATAAAGTTTTTTAATTATATAATTAGTTATATATTTCATTTTTATTGATAAAAACGATTTTTGCGATTAAGGCTAAAACAAAAACAAAACGTTGTAATTATAATAAGACAAACATGATTATAAATACATTATAAATACATTGTGTTGTACATATATATGATTATTGAATATTTCAATGACTAAACAAAAACCACAAAACAAAACATTCATTAATTCTTGATTTTTTTTGATTGGATTACAAACTCAACTTAAAAAAAGACAAGACAACAAACACCGGAGAAAAACCCATTTTTTGATAATAATTTTTTTCTGGTTGCGAGAGTTAGGGTGTGTCGCGCCATATATTGATACAAAACAGTGCCATTTGGTATTAGGTATTACCCATTATTATCCATTACTATGATTACGATTAGATATCTATAGACAGCTATAGAGAGCCCGAAAACGCAGCGGCTATTCAATTGATCGGCGAAAACACACACAAAAAGTTAGAGTCACTTATGTTTTCCTCCCGACTATAGTGTGTGTCGTCTGTGTCCGCACTCTCCCCGACCCCCTCAGCCAACTGTCCCATCCGTTTTCCACTCCCGATCCCCCCGAAGATGTCATCCCATCTCTCTCTGTATATCCGTATTAAGCGTTTGAGTGAAATATCCATTCATTTAATTTGATTATGCGTTTAGTTTTTGTCGTTAAAATTCATATTAATTTTATACAAAACAAAACGATTTTATGTATAATCAATGAAACACTCATTTCTCTCGCGCGCTCTCTCGCCATCTCTCTCTCTCTCTCTCTCTCTCTCTCTCTCTCGTCTCAAATAGTTATAAGTTGTCTAAAATAAATTTTTGTTAAATTGATTTTATTGTATTTAAACTAACAAATTGTACTTTTAATCAATGAGTTAAATAAATTATTATTATTATTATAAAAGTGAATCAAAAAATATTGTGTATTTTATTTTTGGGCGCACTTTGTTTGGGCGATGGCTTATGTAGCTATTATTAAATGTATAATCATTTAAGTCCCGTATCGCACCATTACCAGCGCTGGGGGTAATGATGGGACTGGTAGATGATGTGTCTGTCTCTGTCGTCGAGAGGTATGGTATGTATGGTATGGTAAGAGTCCATTGCGTGAGAAATAACGTGACATTAGGTTATATTGAGTTGATGTGAATCATCGCTCATTAGACGGCATACGAAACACACCATCAAATCAAACGATTGAACGATTGATTTGGTTTCCAATAATAATAACTAATTTCTCCATCACTTCAATCATATGTTATGTGTTTTTTGTTGGTTACGATTGTTATGTTTTCTCATAAATAGATTTGTGGTTTTTTAATAGCAGTCTATAGGCATATAGTGCTCACAATTATCGCATTTGTAGGCACTTTTTGTTTTGAACGCGATTTTAATAATATATTCCTGAGTATTTAGGTATGAATTCAACATTTGGATGGCTATACAGGTATGTATATGCTGTATGCTGTAATACCGGTGCTATTATACACCGAAATTGTGAGCCCCGATAGGGAACTCCCATCGCATGGCATTGAAATGATGTTTAGAGTTTAAAATCCTTAGAGATATCGCATATAATATTGATACATGAGATGTGTGTTCATACTTACCTGGTAATAGTTTGACAAAAATTTTAAACATTAGATTTATGTCGATTTGATTTGAGATTTTAGGCAATAAATGAATTATATATGAAAGTGTATTATGTTTTTATGGGCTTTCGCTGCCATTAGAGCCAAACAGATATTGATTTTAGTCTAACATTTATGTGTCGTTAAAGTGATTTAAGAAATTTTTAAAATATCATAATTTTTGATAATTACATAGAAATCTTGTTTTTCAACCCTTTTCTATACGATTATCTCTCGAAGATTGATGTGTCAGCTCTCCCTCTCTATCTCCCTCTCCCTCCTTAACCTCACTGTCCGTATCGTATATTTTACCACTAGTTAAGTATTTTTGAGAGAAATGTTTTATTTTTCATTTTACACTTTAATTTTCGAAATGAATTTAAGAGAATTATAATTAAGTCTTATATGTATTTTGTGTATTGATATCAATTCATCAAAAATAGCACTCAGTTTTTATATCTTTATTTTTTGGTACAAAAATAGATATCAAATATATATTTGATGTGTTTTTCCCTATCATCTCATATCACGGATTCAAATCTCACGCTTTCCTTATGTTTATGTATTTATTTATTTCGCAAAATTAGTTTAACTCTCTCTCTCTCTCTCTCTCTCTCTCTCTCTCTCTCTCTCGGAATTTTACAAAATATCTGTCGATTTGTATAGTATTTTTGTCAAATTACATAATTTGTTTGTTTTTGATTCACAAAAACACAAACAAAACAATGAAGTGATTGGCAGACATAACAGACATATCAGACAAATAGAGTTTTCAATAATATTCTCGTTTCTGGTATTGTGTGACACAAAACCTAAACACAAATGTGTTGTGATTTGAGAATCTAATCGTCGAAATGCTATTCCTTTAGAGCGAAGAGATAAAGATTTTGTCAGAAATAACATAATAACTATATCTGGAGAGAGAGAGAGAGAGAGAGAGAGAGAGAAATTATTGTTAATAGTTATAGAATATGACAGATAGATATATATAACACAATGCACTGTATGTTAGTATAGGTTTTGAAAAGTTTTTGGCACTGTTTTTGCAGTTCTATTATATTGTCTATTCTGGTGAGCACTCACTCTAAGGCACGGGATCTACATTATGATTGCCTTTTCCCAAAAAGTGGATAATGAGTGCTCATTACACCTTCCCTTTAGATTTTTCACATTTATATTATATAACATATATTTTTTTGCAGTACCACTACTACTAGTGGTGGTGGTGTTGGATGGCATGTCATACCGGATGACACTATAATAGTGTTTAGCGCTCGCGTTGGAGACCACTTATTGTCATCCATCTGAACCGGCATTATATCGTATGGCCAGTTGTGTGTTTGCGGGCCCAGACATGCGGCTCATGTACTCAGGAGATGGTGTTCCCACTCAATGGTGTGCTTATGTTTTATATGACTTTATTTAAAGTCTAGAGACAACGCCGGGCGTCGAGAATAGAGTGTAATTTTCGATGAAATTAATGGTCAAACTTTTTATATATTACACATTTTGCCTCCATTTCCTCCCCTCCCTATTCCTCATCCATACACACACTCTCTCTCCTCTACTATTAATAATATTTTTGCACTAATATTGCATTTTTGCACAGTTTTCGCACTTTCGATACGAAATGAGTGTTAAATGAATTTTTGACAACAAATAAACACAAGAGAAAAGAGTTATTATCAGCGGATTAGCTATCAGTAAATCAGTTGTGTGTTTGGTGTCTCTCATTGAAAAACTTTTTTAAAGCTATAAAAATGAGATTTTATTATTATTTTCTGCATTTCGTGTGTTTTTTGTAGACGCCTGTAGTCTAAAGGCCTAAAACGTGACTTTATTTTCAGTTTAAAGTTTTTATTTTCATTGCCTTTAATAGGAGTTAAGAAAAAGTATATTTCTATTACTGACTATAATATGAAACTGATTTCACTGGTCATACCTTTCCCATCTACTCGTCACTCAATTCCCCTCTAAATATACTGTAATATACTTTTCAATTATTTATATAAACATTTTTTTTCACTATAACTTTATTTCAGTTTAATTGAGTTTTTATGATGATTATTACTTTCAGTTATGACTTTAAGGCTCCCTTTCTCTCAATCTATCTGTCAGTCATTGTTTGCGTTATGATTGTGTTTATGACATAAATATAATAAAAGAGTTTTTCGTGAAATACACGAATTATATTCATATCTATCTATTGAACAACAAATAGTCAACAATTTCTCAGCACTTGTTTCGCAGAATTTTGAAATAGTCTGTCAAATTGTATTAAGATTAATAGGAAATCGTCTAAATATTCACAAAATATTTCTAATATAATAATAAAATAATAATAATATTAACAGAACTGAAAAAATACAGTAATTAACGAAATAAAACCGAAAATATTAATCAAAATTTAATTGTTATTTTAATGGCCAAAAAGTACAGTAAAACTGGGAATCGATTTTCATACACAGCATATGAGAGTCACATAAAAGTCATTATAGTTTTGTTGTGTGATACGAAAAAAATATATTCAGACAAACATAAAATTCATACACATACACAAAACTTCTATCAAGGTATGTATAATATTATGAAAAACTATAGCAATTAATTCGCGAAAATATTGAATTAATTTTTGCCCCAAAAATTCTCGCGATTCTTATCCCATATATGAAATTCATTTGAAGAATACGATTGAATAGTAAATAATTTGTTGGATATGTATATAAAAAAATATTGTTTCACTCCAGAGTTTTATCATATATTTTGGAGATGGTATACCAGCGGTACATCCCTGGGTTTCTGTGCATAGCATGGTTTGCGCCGATGGTTAGTGCCGCGAATGCAATGGTTGTGCTGTCAGCGGGGGGTGGCGTCACCAGAATACCCCCCAAAATGCACACATCTATGTGTATATACCTGAATGCATATAAGTATAGCGAGTATATATATATATATATATCTATGTATAGCTCCAGTGGTGTACACTATTGCCATAGACATAGACATATAGAGGGGGTAGCGATGGGTATAACCTGGAGCTACACCTGGAAATAAATTATTCCTGTGCTGACGATTCGCTCATCTAATGTTACCATTGGATAAATGCAATGAAGTTTTGGTTCATAACCGGCACAAAACACAGCACACATACAGCAATAGCCAGCGTGTTGTGTATGAGTGTCCCCGCACTGATGCACCACCACTACAGCCCGAATCCGCCCATTTTAATGCCTGTCCCGCTGTTACACTGCTATGAATGTAATTAAGCTGCGAGTCGTTTGTTGTATATGTATTCCTATCGATAGGTACTATACATGGACTCTAATGTTATGTTCAGTATATTAGTTGAGAATAAATATATTACAGGAGAGAGAGAGAGAGAGATTTCATCAAATAACAAGTTTTTTGCTCCCATTCTCCCTTTCATTCACTCTTTTATATACAATTGATTTATAAAAAAATAAATTAGTATTTATAAAGGTTTAGATAGAGCTTAGCCTCTAATGAGACTTTTGTGCCATTAAACCATTGCTTCTGTGCTCTCTCTCTCTCTCTCTCTTGTCAGAGAGATAACATTAGTGGCAAATAAATCATTAATTGTATTATTAGTGTTGTTATAAATATAAAATAGTTTTCATATGAAATTTATTTTTGAGCCGTACTTCGGGAGTGAAGCATAAAATTCATAATTTTGTTGTTTTGTCAGTTCGTCTCAAACTTCAAACCTTTAATTATATAAGAATTTAATTTTTTAAAGCGATTTAAATTTTGATTGACTTTTGCATTATATTTATATGAAATTGGGTTTAGATTTCAAATTGATTTTAATTTCCTATAAATAGATGTTTGTCTCAAAACATAAATATCATATCGATTTCAATGCGTCGGATATGCAGTGGTTTTCAGCGAAAATAGGTTTTGACAGCAAATTATGAATATATTCTCGATTTCCCATTCATTGCTAATTTGAAAAGTCATTTAAATATATATCTCTCGCAGCGTATAAGACATAAAACATAACAAATTGTAAGACATTTTATGCATTAAATAAAACTCTTAAAAACTACACGAAAATTGTATGTCTTTAACAACTGGGAGAGAGAGAGAGAGAGAGACAAACCATTTGAATGCCTCCGCCTTAT